GGTGCAAAGGTATCAAAGTAATCAACTCCATATTGCTGATGCTGGCTGTTTGTAGCACATCAGATCTCAAGCATCAATTACTGTCAATGTTCACTCCTTGTAGGTGATCCAATTCAAGCCATCTTTGGCAAGCTTAGGGACATTGAACAGTAAAGAAGAGGTACTAGGGATCTGTTAAGACCATGCTCAGGGGTAAGACGGAGTCTGAGGGGCTTGGCTTCAGCTTGTGTGCTGTGCCCCTTACCCAAGTACATGCCCCTAATTTTGGGTTGTAGTCCAACTCGAGTTTCTATGAGCTCCGACAGGACGTTGGAGCAGAGGTCCCCTGAAGGAGGACTGACAGACTACTGGATGAGCATGGGAACATCAGGCGGAGATTGGTCCGCCCTACAGAGGAGAGTTGGAGGGCTACTGTAGTTGGAGCTAACAGTAGGAATAGAGCAGAGGAGACTGCTTGGACAAAATCTGAAGCAGAAGGGAAACACAGAGGACAGAGGTACTAGAGTGTTAGCCATAAGTCCGACGCATGGGAAAGGCAGTGGAGGTGCGGGAAGTTGGACAAGCGGAGAAGGCAGCTGACCTAGGGAGTCAATCCCCTAGGCTGGCAAACAGGATTTGGCAAGGGTTTTGCCCAAGAACAGGGACAAGAGAGCAGAGCTTAGAAAAGGTAATATTCAGACTAAAGATCTACAGACAGATGTACATATGTTTATATACTCCAAGTAAGTAGCATAGCATAGCAGCAGGCTAAGTGCTGAGTGTACAGAATTACTAGAAGATGACAGAAACATACAAGAAAGGGGCTTGGAGAACAGTATGTACACAACGGATCAATAATCACTCAGGTATAAGGATTACCGGTGATCTGAAAGGAGGAACTATGATACTAAAAGGAGATAGGACCAGTTGAGTGGTTCCTAGTCTAGGAGTGGACTGGTGAGGCGGTCAGACGAACTAATAGTTGGGTGGACTGATATGGGAGAAACTGAAGGAACCAAGTGGGTTGGAAAAGCGGAGATGGTGGAGGGAGTAGGAGTAGGAGTAGGATTGGGCAGACCAATAGGGCAGAGGAGCGGAGGTAGCAGGGCTAGTCCTACTGAGGTGCACTTCACGCATTGTCAGAGAAGGAGGGATAGAGCGGACAGGGAAACAGGGGGTCAGACCAGCAGTAGGGATGTTCACAGGTGGTATTGGAGGTGCTCGGATCCGGTATATGACAGAATCACATTATCTGTGGCCATAGCAGGGCTCATAACCTAAAATGAATCTAGGTGAGAGAAGGACCAAATGAGCTAGTAAGAACAAATAATCTCAGTCTCTAGACAGAACTGAGATGCTTGTATGGATCTGACTGTCTCTTTATGGTACATAGGGTAGAAACGAAAATTTGCATACATCAAGTCCTTCAATATGGTCAGGTGTGAGCCAATGTCAAGGTGTCACTCACCTGCCACTCTCTATATTGCGCTCAGACCTTATCTCAGATCCTTCAGCCACTTCCTCAATGAATCAATTGGACTTCAACAATCCCAGCCCTTATTTTAACCCCTAGAGCATCCTATATTAATCACTGCACTATACTAGCATAAAACAGAAAACTGGTCCACATTTTTTCTTTCTAGGTATATAGACTTATAAATATGATACCAAGCATCTATTAAATGGTATACACACCATATAAGAAGCCCAGGTCAGCAGGATCAGTCCCTGTTGTGCCATGTGTTTACCTCCTCCTGGTGGTTCACCCCCTGGAAATTTCTTTCCTGCAGCTCCAGCCCTCCAGGACAGTAGGTGACCTGCTCTTATGTATATCTGTAGTACTTGTATCACATGGATACCCTAGAATAGTGCCATGATCCTTTTCTACAATGAAATGTCTCCTCTGCCTACTTTGTAGCATATTTTCGGGTTTTTACTACATCACCATTGCACAGCCTATCTAAACTCACAGGACATATATTAAGCATTCCCATGGCCATGATCAAGCATAAATATGTCAGAGTGTTGAGATCAGAGGTGGTATATATATTAGGGGCAATAGTAGAAATCATCACACAAATGTTATATTTCAACTATGAAGATTTCATTAAAATCAATAGAATACATTGTAAACCACTCAAATATCCTATACTACATTGTGTTCCAAGGGTGCAGGTGATGTGGAAGTGTTCTGGGGTCAAAATGTTGATGTTGAACATTGCTGTCCTACCACCAATCTGTAAACTAAAGTGCATGTTTTCGATGTTTCAACTTTTTTTTACTTTTCCATGACCTTTTTCTTATCTATCAACTTCCCCTGCCCTTGTCTGTCCATGGATCCTTCCAGTAATTGGAGAATGTGTCCCTTGGTATGTAGAGTGTATATAACAATAGTCTGATCATAAGACCTCAGTAGCTATATGTCTGAGAATCCTTATCAGTGAGAATCAGAGAAATCTCCTTGATATCAATACTTAGACATATGTATGCTTGATCATGGTTATGAGAAGGCTTTGCATATGTCCTGTAAGGGATAAATGAATTGTTGAGCAGCCTGTGCAATAGTAATGTAGTGAAAACCCTCGAAAATGCGAAAATGTGCTACAGTGTAGGCAGGAGGAGATATTTGTCTGTAAAGAAGGATCATGGTACTATTATAGGGTAGCTATGCGATCAAAATACTCTATATATGCATAGGAATAAATCCCTCACCATTCTGGAGGGCCAGAGCTGCAGGAAAAAAATCCCAGAGGGTGAACCACCAGGAGGAGGTAAACACATAGCACCACAGAGACTGATCCTGTTGACCTGGGCTTCTTATATGTTGTGTATACTATTGAAGAGATGCTTGGAATCATATTTCTAAGTCTAGATACCTATAAAACAACATGTGTGGACCAATTTTCTGTTTTGTGCTAGTATAGTGCAGTGGTTGATATAGGGCACTCTAGGGGTTAAAATAAGGGCTGGGATAGGTTTATGTATGTGTATAAACATGTTCTCAATACTCTAGAACATCTATATCTAGAAAGTAAGGGAGAAGCATATGGGGGGAAGGGTGGGAATGACACCACCATATGCATGGACACCACATTTTGTTGCATGGTGTTCACGTTTCTCATGTGGACACCATGTTTTTCACACTTATCACACTTATTTCACTAAATTGGCTGAAAAAAGCATCCCACGTGGTTCTGTCAATTGGAGTTTGAATTTCCAAAAACCATCATCCATTACTATATGAGCTCACTGTCTGAAATTGGTTATATGTGCAATTTCGCTCAATTTGGCAACCTCACGTGGTTTTTTTTTCAGCCTGACTGCACCAGATGTGACACAACACAACACTGCTCTACTATATTCCAGTAGCTCCCATCACCTACCATCACATCTGATCACCTGCCACCATCAGCTGTTAAATCCTGCTGCCTCTTGGTGCCCTCATTAGGTACCATGCTTGGATGGAGAAGCAGAGGGGTTGGGGCTTGGCTTCAGCTCTTGTGCTGCACCCTTAGCCAAGTATGTGCCCTGAATTTGGAGCAGAACCGACATTGTCCGACAATAGGACAAGTGGACTGCTTTGGTCTGCTTTGAGGGTCAGGAGGTAAAGTGCTTACTAGTGGCAGACTGACTAGAAGTGGAGCAGGTGGAGCAGGGGAAGGAAGTCGGAGCAGGGGGAACAAGGGGATTGGTGTTTATGATGTGGAGGGAAGTAAGGGAGATTAACTTAGAGCACAGCTCTAAGTTGGAGTGGAGGAGTGGAAGGCAACAATAAGGTGAGACTTGTGTCTGGAGTGAGTAAAGTCCTATGGAGAATTCCCACCAGTAGAAACTGAGGGAAGACAAGTAATATTAAGACTAAGGAAACTAGCTATGTACATGATATGTTTTATATACTTCTATGTGAGGAGGCAGTGATCAGTAGTCCATAGCATAAGGCTATGTGCTGAGTATATACAATTGGTAAGTATTACTACAGAGAAACATAAGTTGGAGCAGATATCAATATGTATATGACAGATCAGTGAGTGACTTCCCATAAGGTTTTACAGACAAATTTCTGTTAATCCTCATGCCTTAGCTGAATAGCCATGCTGGATTTGGAAGGTAGCTGTCAATGCCTGTCAAATGGTTGCTCTCACACTCATCTGTAAATCTGCCAATCTGTGGAGGGGTAGCTACCCCTCTGTAGATTTCTGTAAATTGTTGGAGCACACTAAATGTCTGATTTGGGCAATTTTCTTACTTTGTTTAGATGGCTCGCTCAGAGTCAATCTCATCCAGATCAACTCTTGTTTTTCTGCTATTGTAGACTCCACTCCTTATGTTTGACCTTTGAATCCCATTGTAGTGATGTAAGCACAATCATTGTAGCTTTCATAAAGATGTGTCCATGGTGTCATGAAGTGAGGGCTTGGGAGGAGCTGAGGACGGCACAAATACAAGCATGATGGATTGCAAACACGTATTTTCATCAGGTGTGCCTCTTCCGCACCAAGAATGAGAACACCAACAAGTGCAGCTTGCAGTTGCAGCATCTCATCGTCATCGGCAAATGCATACTGCATTAAAGTTTCAATGTCCATGGCAGGGCTCAAATTATAGGGAAAATAGCTGTATCTATGTCTTACGGTTTACAGATTCTGTCTGTAAATTAGCCAATGTCAGCTTGTCAAAAATTTACAGACAAGCTTGTTTCTGTAAATTCTTACAGGAAGTCACCCAGTGATTGAGCGGTTATAGGAATTGCTGGTGATCCGGGAAGTAAGTGTTATGTACCAAAGGGGAAAGTATATACGTAAATGGGGAAAGAGGTTCCAGTTGAATGGAACCTATATGGAAGGTGAATGATGAGGCGGTTGAGTGGAGGCGCAGGAGCAGATGCGGAGGTCAACTGGATCGAGCGGAGACAGGCAGAGTGGATAAGGGGAAAAGGCAGAAGGGATATGGGGTTGGGCGGAGTGGATATCAATATGTTGGAGTGGTTGGATCTGGTATATGACAGCCCTCAACACTCAACCATGGCCATTTCCAGCACTTCCCCAGCACCTAACAATGGTTTGGATGCATTTTTGGATGCATCACATGATGCAGAGCTCCCTGTCACACTGGGTCACATCACCATGTGAGTTCTTTGGCATCTGTTTTTGTCTGATCACACAATTTACAGTAACTATTCTCAGTGCTTCCTCAGCACCTGATGCTGGCTCTGGTGCATTTTTAGCCACATCATGCAACACTCTGGGCCATGTCACCAGGTGAGTTGTTCTCTCTCTGTGTCTGTCTGATTGTGTATTTATGGTAGATGCAAGGCAGGAGCCCAGACCTACTGTTGACTGGAATGTGTAAGCATGTGCTTACTCTCATGTGATTAACGCGTCATCTGCATCATCTGCATCATCTGCGTTGATTGGACACTGCATTACGATTGTCTGTGTTTGGTCACTAACATTGATTCAGTATAAATATCCTATTACTGATGTACTTATATCTTATCTCTTACCATACCACCGAATCCCATACGCTCTTCCACGTTACTGTTCTCTGACTGCCCGCCAGTGTTTACCGTCTACTGTGATGGTGTTCCACTTTTTTTTAACGTTCAGCTGAGTGTTAACTGTTTATATAAAGCTGTTAAACCGTCAACCTTCTCATTATCAGATTCAACCGTTGGGTATTGACTATCAGTCAAACCCAAGAAGCCGTAACTGTCACCTCCACCGTTCTAGAACCTACTATTGGGTATTGACCGCCAGTCAACCCATCACTGCATAACCAAGCTGCCTCCCCGCCGCACTCAGATACCTATACCTCTGTCGGTCACAACGCGTAGTCATGCTAGACTTCAATCAGCGATCGTCGCTGATATCCCACCAGCAATTGCACCTCCTATAATATAACCAGTCATCTCACCTTCTCATTCGTGAATCGACATGCATATATCCACTGATTCAGACTCTACTGATACCCACATCCCAATTACATCTACCATGTCAACTGCATCAAAAACTGCATGCGTGGAACAATCATCCGCAAGTAAACCACCCTTCCTCACTGCGGGCAAGTTGACTCTGGAGGCTCTACGTTCCTGGGAAATGGGTTGCACTCAATTCTTCCTCCACAAGGAGGTCAAGGATGAGGAGATGGTAAAAAAGGTCGCTTGGGGAATGCAGGAAGCGGTTATTCAAGACTGGTATATTAACGATTGTGAACATATTGACAAGCTCAAATTCGCAGAGTACATGGCCAAAGTCCATGGCTATTGGCTCCCGTTGGGTTGGTCTGATGTCGTTTGACACAAGATGTTGGCGTCAACTCAGGGACAACACCCCTTCAATGAATGGGCAGTTGACGTTCAAAGCCAGACTACACTACTACATGGGACGACGTCTCACCTTGCCAAAGTCAACATTTGCTATCATCTTGAATCTCATATGAACTCTGAACTCGCCATGGATTATCAAGCTGAAAACATGACCGAAACAGATCTGCACAAATGGATCGAGAAAGTGTGCTTGCTTGACAAAGGGCGGGCGCATTACCTCATTAGACAATGAGAGGCCGTGGACGCAGCCCTATGCACCGAATGTGCACGTTCAAGTGGGGAGAAGAAATTCACTGCTGGAACGTGCTTTAATGCTAAAGTAGGACAAACCACTAGCACATCCACGACTTCCTCTGCAAAGACCTTCACATGTCTACCATCCCTCACAGACAACAAGCATCAGTTACTTTGGGATAACAACAGCTGCTTCAAATGTTGCAAACCTTTCACTGGACACACGTCGGCAGCTTGCCCAAAGGGTTTTCCCAATGGTGCTTTGTACAAGACTCTTACCGCCTCCCTCATTGCTTCAAAGAAACCGAAGATAGTCGCAGCGGTCGACATTGAAGATCATCACACCATCACGGTTGTAATGCCATCAGCGGCACTTGGTGATGGTTCTGACTCTGATGAAGAGTGCGTGGCCCCGTTACAGACCCCTCATTTATGTTGGGAGTGTGGCATTGACAGGCCTGCTGTTTCATCTTCTATCATTGTATCTGCTCTCATTGACTATGGCTCCTCTCTAGTTCTGATTGACGAATCGCTCATCATCAAGCTTGGACTCTGCCACCATCAATTATCAAAACCCTTACCAGTCTCACTCACATTGTCTCAAGACAAACAATCCTTCCTTCTTTCTCAATATGTCAAACTGTCGTGTTCCTCCCTTGATCAAAATTACATGTCTCAAACTGTACATGTGGTAATTGCACCAAAGCTTTGTACTCCTCTCTTACTTGGAGGCCTGTTTCTTGAACACAATTGCATCATTGTTGATCATGAGCTGCGTACTTGCATCGTGAAAGATACTAACTACAACCTCCTTCATCCCCCTACAGTTCCAACCTCCCCTCCTGTTCGCATCTCACCATCTGGCCCCCAACTATTCTGGATGAAGCACAATGTCGTCAATGAACTCAAATCTGTCCTTCCTGAACTGAAAGCGATTGTCAACAACGAGTGCGAACTAGTGAAGGGTGGGGACATTGCAGCTGCCATGCAAACACGCATCACGGAACTCGAATACCAGGACCACCTGAGTGCATTGGACACCACGGTAAAGGCTGAATTCAGTGACCGCTTTCCCGCTGATATTCCACATAATGATACTATGCCCTCCGATGTGTTGTTTTGCATTCACCTGAAGGAGGCTAATAAGATTGTTCAACAGCACTCATACGATTGTCCCAAGAAATATTGTGCTGCCTGGAAGACACTGTTGGAATTGCATCTCCAGAGCGGACATTTGAGAGAATTGGAAAGCGAATGGTCGTCCCCCTCATTCATAATCCCAAAGGCTGATCCAATGGTGTTACCATGGTGGGTGAATGACTTCCATCTCCTCAATGACAACACCATTCCAGATAATCACCCATTACCACACATTGATGAAATACTCAAAGACTGTGCAAAAGGCAAGTTTTTCAGTAAAATAGATATGACTAACGCGTTTTTTCAAATGAGGGTACACCCTGACGACATGAAGTACCTCACGATTCACACTCCCTTTGGCAAATACAAATGGACAGTGATGCCGATGGGAGTATGCAACGCCCCTGTGGTACATCAACACCGTATGACTACAGCTCTACGTCACCTTATTGGTAAGATCTGTCATGTATATCTCAATGACACCATCATATGGTCGCAAACTCTTGAGGAGCACGAGGCAAACGTCCGACAAGTCTTGATGGCCTTGTGTGCTGTGCACTTATACTGCTCACCGAAAAAGACATCACTCTTCAACACCGAAATTGATTTTCTCGGTCATCACATCTCAGCGCATGGCATTGAAGTTGATAGTTCAAAAGTCGACAGGATTCTCAATTGGCCACAACCGAGGACCGCAACAGAAGTACGCGCCTTCCTAGGTATTATCCGATATCTTTCATACCATCTGCCCAACGTCGCCACGTATACTCGTGTGCTTGCTGTGCTAACGACAAAAGCAGCAGAATTAAAATTCCCAGACTGGACTAATGCGCATGCAGAAGCCTTCCAGGCCATCAAGAAATTGGTCGTCAGTCCAGAATGTCTCACCACCATAGACCATGACAACCCGGAAAACAATAAGATCTTTCTTACTGGTGATGCATCTGACTACACCACAGGTGCCATACTATCTTGGGGACCAACACAAGAATCAGCTAGACCAGTGGCTTTTGACTCAATGCAGCTTCATACTGCGGAGCTCAACTATCCCATCCATGAAAAAGAACTCTTAGCAATCATACGTGCCTTGAAGAAGTGGCAATCAGATTTGCTGGGTGCGCACATGGACATATTTACTGACCATCAAACTCTTCAGAACTTCACCATGCAAAGGGACCTCTTGTGTCGTCAAGCTAGATGGTCTGAATACATGTCGCAATACAACATGTCAATCCACTATATTAAGGGAGAAGATAACAAGGCCATGGACGCTCTTTCATGAAGAACGGATACGGCATCCACAGCGGATCTTTGTGCTGCACTACTCACACTCTGATTGGATGAAAACCTAATCAACTGCATCGTTAAAGGGTATGAAGCTGATCCATGGTGTAGCAAGCTAAACGGGTTACTAGATTCCTTACCTGGTTTGACTTGCAATGAGTGAGGTCTGTTTTATATTGCAGAATGCCTGGTGATCCCACGGGTCGATGATCTTCATGAAACCTTGTTCAATGCTGCGCATGACACTGCCGGTCACTTCAGAGCTAACAAATTGTATGTGCTACTATGAGGTTCATATTATTGGCCTAACATGAGGTGTGATCTGATCGACTCATACATTCCCTCTTGTGGTGCATGCATGTGCAACAAATCAAGAACAACAGCGACAACCAGACCCTTGCACCCATTACTGGTTCCTGACGCCTGTGGCGACTCCGTTGCCATTGACTTCATTGGACCTTTGCCTGAGGATAGCAGTTATAACATGCTTGTTTCGATGATGGACCGGTTGAACTCCAACATACGTCTTGTCCCTTGCAGAGACAATATATTGGCAGAACATTTTGCAGGACTGTTCTTCGACCACTGGTTCTGCGAGAATGGACTGCCACAGGAGATTGTATCAGACCGTGATAAGCTCTTTTTGTCTTGATTTTGGCGTGCACTACATAAGCTGACTGGTGTTAAGCTCAAGATGTCTTCCTCATATCATCCTGAAACGGACGGTGCGAGCGAGCGCACCAATAGAACTGTTAATCAGAGTCTCTGTTATTACGTGGATCGAAACCACAAGGGTTGGGTCTGTGCACTCCCCTGTGTATGTTTCCATCTCATGAACACTGTGAACATGAGCACTGGCTTTTCACCCTTCCAGCTGCATCTAGGACGTTCACCGAGGATGCTCCCACCATTAGTTCCAGCTTCGTCTCTACCTGAGGATTCTGAAGAAGAACATGCTCGCAACTTGCTCTCACAGCTCAAACATGACATGATGGAAGTGCAGGACAACCTGCTTGCAGCAAAAGCAGCTCAGGCTGTGAATGTCAACAAGAACCGCGCGCCATTGCTCATGCTACAAGTTGGCGATCGTGTAATGCTCGCTACCAAACATCGTCAGAGAGAGTACATGCAGAAAGGTGACAAAAGAGTAGCAAATTCATGCCTAGATATGACAGCCCATACACAATCCTAGATGCTCATCCAGAGAGCTCAACATACACACTGGATCTTCCTAATTCTCCGAACATCTTCCCTATGTTCCACATCAGCCAACTACGCCCATATCACACAAACGACCCCATTCTCTTCCCTACCTGTGAACATCCACGACCTGGGCCTGTGGTAACAGAAGATGGACAATTAGAAAACTTCATCAACAAGATCATCGATAAATGAAAGGTTGTAAGGGGAAAATGGTACCTTGTATGTTGGGTTGGCTTTGGTGAAGAAGATGATGAGTGGCTACTGAGGAAGGACCTGGTGGACTGCGAGGCTCTAGATGTTTGGGAGAAGGGACGTTCTGAAGGATGATGGGGAAGGGTGTAAGCATGTGCTTACTCTCATGTGATTAACGCGTTATCCGCGTCATCCGCGTTGATTGGACACCACATTACGATTGTCTGTATTTGGTCACTAACATTAATTCAGTATAAATATCCTATTACTGATGTACTGATATCTTATCTCTTACTGTACCACCGAATCCCATACGCTCTTCCACATTACTGTTCTCTGACTGCCCGCCAGTGTTTACCGTCTACTGTGACAGTGTTCCAGAATGCCAGGCTTCTGCAGGGTTTTGATGCAAGCTTTGCTGCCCACCTGCAGCAATGTTATCGCCAGCCTGTCAACATGCTGGCCCCACCTCCCACCTCCACAACTCCTTGAGTACCTGCTGCTTCTGAGTCATTGGTGCCTGCTGTGACTGACTGGTCTGCTGATCTCCATCACTGCTGGTTTCAGAGCCACATGACATGTCTCAAATGGAGATGAGTCAATGATCCATATGCTAAGGTCACCACTCAGCGAGAGGATTGCAATGCCATGGATCAGCAACTCCATGACCTGTAATGATCTAAGGTAAAGTTGGCAAAGGATATCATGTGGTGGTGTAGTGGGGTGCACATTGCAGGGGTTACGTGGAAGAGGAGATAGTGGGAGGAGAACACAGGAGCTAGAGTGAGGAAGGCATGGAGGTTAGGAAAGTAATACAGAGAGTAACAGGAGGTGGAGTTCAGGGGTCTCAAGGGTTCGGGGTCCTGGGAGTACATACAGCTAGACACATGTTCTACAGTAGAGACACAACCACAACATGTTGGTGATCCTTCCCTTCTCTAGAGAGCAAGGCCAGCGGGTACAGTGGGAAGAGCAACTTGAACATGACCACAAGATTGGTGTGAGGGATGTGGATATGTTCTGCTCTCAGTTGGATGAGGCACTCAAACATCAAAAGTGTCAGGAGGTGGTGGATGCTTGGCAAAAGCACATCTTTGAGCAGAGGAAGGGAAAAAGTCAGAAGGAGTGTCAGCATTTGTTTGAGCTATACAACATCAGGAAAAAGTGTTAATGCTATATAGCCCTATATAGCCCTATATAGCACTATATAGCACTATACCAGCTATATAGCTGTATAGCCACATAGCCAAGTACCCTATTATATGGACTCTTTATAGTGTGACATAGCGCTATATAGAGTCCTATAATATAGCTCCTCCTATATGCTTCTTTAATTTCTCTTATAGTTGAAGCAAATTCATACTATACAGCACTATATGTCCTCTATACATCTTTCTATAGTGTTTTACATTTTTAAATTTAATACATTGAAAACATCACAATTGGATTATGTAATACTATTGATTTTCAATTGTACTAATTTTCATATTACATAACAGGGGTAGACATGGACCTCGTTGTACCACTACCAGTAGCATATGGTCTAGCAAATTCCTCCATTGCGTCAAAATCTAATTCTGAATCTGAATCACCATCCAGATGTCTCGTCAGATATCTACAGGACTCCCTGTATCAACAAAAATCAGCATTTACGATGAATATATATATATAAAATTACCCTAATTCAGTCCAGAGATCCTTACACAGCTTTTCCATATACATAGGAGAGCGTTCTTGGTAAGCATTGAGCTTCGACATATAATACTGATGTCTAAAAACAGTGAAATCATTGATCAGTACATAAGTGAGTGACGCAGACATGAGCTACTACCTGGGCTGGAATATTGGTTCCTTGAAGTCGACAACAACAGGTGAACCGGTTAACATGCCTTTATAAGCACATTCTCCCTAGCTGTCATATACCTGATCCGACCACTCCAATATTGATATCCGCTCCGCTTTCTGACCCCCTCCGCTCCATCCATCCTCCGCTCCGCCCAATCACAAGTCCGCATTCCGCCCTATGCTTCTGCTCAACTGCTCAACCAGTCCCCTTCCATAACCTCTCCATTCAACTGGATCTCTTTCCCCTTTTAGATATATACTTTCCCCTTCGGTACATAGACCCTTACTTCTGGATGACCGGTAATTCCTGTTACCGCTCGATCACTGATCCGACGTGTACATATTGATATCTGCTCCAACTTATGTCTTCACCTATGTAAAGTACTTACAAACTATATCCTTGGTACATAGCTTTACTACATAGTTATCCTGATCACTGCCTCATACATAGAAGTATATAACATATCCTGTACTTAGATATTTTTCCTCAGTCTTAATATTACTTGTCTTCTTGCAGTTACATCTTGTGAGAATTCTCAGTAGGACCTTGCCTCCTCTGGACACAAGTCTCAACTTGTTGTCACCTCCAACCCTCCAACCCTCCACTCTGACTTAGAGCCGTGCTCTAAGTCTTTCCCTGATACTCCACCCCTATCAACTATTCTCCCTTGTCCCTCCACATTATCCTCTGCCTTTCCCGCCCCTACCAAACATTCCCCCTGCTCCTATCCACCCTCTGCATCACTCCCTGCCTTCTCTGCTCCACTCCTAGTTGGCCCGCCGCTAGTAGCTCTTACTCCCCGACCCTCAAAGTGGACCAAAGTGGTCCACTTGTCCTATTGTCAGACAATGTTGGACCCACTCCAAATTTGGGGCACGTACTCGGCTAAGGGCGCAGTGCAAGAGCTGAAGCCAAGCCCTGACCCCTCTGCTTCCTGAGTCGGCACGGTACCTAACACTAGCAAAGGTCATGTATTAGCAACATATGACAATGAGGAAAGATATTTACTGCAGTAGCTAGTAGAGCTATGAGATTGTTGGGAAGTTTCTGGAAGTGTTCCATATATGCTATGCTCTCAGATCCTGGTCCTTGGAAAAATTGACTATAAAGAAGCTGACACAGCAGTGATGCTCTGAAAGGCAGGTTCTTGTTGAATGTCTTGGCCTACAGATATCAATTAGTATTGTACCCTTGTTGCGAAGATAGACTTACATACTTTGAGGTCCAATTCACCGCAGAAAAATGGGTCCTTCTTGGTAGTAAGAAGCCAGTTGGCGATATCACCTGATACCAATCAATGAAATACTCAAAATGAATGATATAAAAAAAAAGATACTGATTTCCTTAGAACGCATTTGCTGTAACTGAAATATCACAGTATCTCTTGCCTTTCTAACCAGCTCTCCCCTCAACTGGCTAGCACCAGACCACACCTAATGGGAATATTAGTGTCATGTCCCAAATAGATTACAATACCTACATAAGCTATGGCCCTGCTTTTTAGAACATCATTGCTGCCAATCATATCAAGCATGGGCTTCAAGGGTGAGCCTGGATCCTTGGCTGCTTCCTTGATGCAGTCCCATGTGAAGGAATCTTGGACGTCTACCGAAGGTCCAGGAAAAGCGACTTCCAAAGCAACTTTGATTCAAAGGAGCTGGTGAGCGAGATCAACCAAGGGTCCACATCTGTCCTTCTTCAATGAAGCTAGAGTAGTTAGTGGTTTGACGTTGCCTCTGGGGACACATTTCCTCCTGAGATGATCTGTGGTGTTGTCCGTGGACTCATCCTTGACCTGAATAAGCTAGATATGTTATAGTAGGTTAGGCTCAATGTTTTGCAGATAAAGTTACGTACCCCATTAGTTCTCCTAACTTCTGTGGTTGTGGTAGAATTACTATTGTCCCCCTCTTCACCACTACTATCTGCCAGTGTTTGATTGTTGACTTCAATGCCTGATTCTAATATATAATTAGTACTGTATACACACAAAAAACTGACCAACCGTCAAGAGCTGCTACAGGTGTTTTTGTTTTGGCAGGGCCAAGTGGGGGAAAAATATCAGATGGATTGGCATCATCCTCTATGTCCACACCCTCCATTGTAGGCACTGCTGCAACTGAGCGCATTCTTGTTACTGTAAAGTACATGTCATTGTTTCTGCCCCTGGTATAAATGAGAAAGTGCACCTCTTTTTCTCTTTTTGTCTGTTAAGACCTCCTGCTCAATGTCGCTCTCTTCATCCATAAAGGTATCAACTTTCTTCCTGACATCTATAACATTAACATTTATTAGAGTATTTTCCATTCATTATAATTCTGTTTAATGTACCTTCTTTACAACTGCACTCTGCTTCCTTCTTCTTCTGTGCTTGAAATTTCAAGAATTCTTCATATTGCTCATCTGGGACCTGTAATGTTGAAGCAGCTTTCTTTCGTCCTCTGGTTTTGGATACAGGGGGTGGAGGTGTGGGTGACTTACTTTGCTCTCTTGCTTTTGGCCTTGCGAGACATTGTAATATAGAGATGTAGTAGTGAAACTAATGAGGTCGTCAGAAGGGAATGAGGTGAATTAAAGCTGCCTTTAAAACTCACTTACTTGGCAGCCAGGCGCCACCTTAGTAATTGACAACCGTAAGAATACGCATCATATGAATAACAAATGTATAGTAAGACATATCATACGAAAGAATGCATGGTCTCATTGTCTACCCAGCTGTTGCAATCCCTAAGCCAGGCTGCAAACTCCTTGTCAGTCTGAAAGACAAGAGATGCCCTTGCTCCCCTGTAATCCAAGTTGAAATGTGTCACCTCACTAGATCTAAAGAGAGCCACATCTCCAGCCGCAACTCAAGAACAAGTCAGTTCTCCAGTAGGCACAAGGCCCTGCCTTCAAAATGACCAATGGGAATGACAAGACATAGATGGCGATCCAGGCTGTCTCTATGGGCTTTTGTGCACACATTGATATTGATGATCAAAGATATGAAGGGCGCAACAGGGGGAGAGCAGTTTCCAGGCAAGACTGCCATGACTTCCATCAGCAGCTCAAATTCCTCCTGCAGATAGGTCTCCATCTACTAATGTGAATATAAATGTCAAGAATAAAAATGGCATGATGACGCACCAATTTTCGAACCCACTCAAACAACTCTTCATATAACTTTGAAATTGTACCATAGATGTGACGGTGTTCATGCAAATCTTTGGATAGGTAGGGGATTACCTGCGAGTGATTGGTGCGCATGCCTTCTTTTTCTAATGCCCATGGTTGGATGTCTGTTGGAGCCTCGTGACCCTATTTCATTATTAGTGTATACCATAAGTTGAGTGTCCAAAAAAGGTCGCTCACTGAGGTACAATGTCTGTTGTACCAAGACATGTGCATTGCTTGAAAGGGTTGACACCCGGGCAATTGAGTGTTGGTCTCCCATAGTAGGTCCGGATTTTTCAATGCCACCAAAAGATTCACCTCAAGAGTAGATCGTATATGAGCCAGGAGTGCCATTGACACAAAAGCCATAAGTGAACTGTCTGTGTTTCGTAGCTCCAAATGATGACTGCTGAGATCAGTTTGAAGAGTACAACTGCAGGAATATGAATGCACTTTGGTATAATATGCATTGGAATGCGCAAGTACGCATCCTGCGTTATCTTGACACCATTGTGGTAAAGTTTCGCAAGCTATACAACCAGGGAGTGATCATTAGCTTAGTAGAACAATGTACAGCTACATACACACACCTTCATTTTCAAACCTTCGATGCTTCTCACTCGCTCCCCTGCTTCAGCATGAGACCTTTCTGTTGCGCTCCAGATAATGTTATCTGCTTTGTTCTGGGGTGCCTTAAAGCACTGGTTCTCAGGTGACAGCGGATTGTAAGAAGTCTTGATGACAATGTGCTCAACTTTGTCCTCCTCTACATCAGACAGTGGTGGACTGTAAGGGCGACTTGAGCTGTAGAATTCCTCGTAGTTGAAAGTGTGTACTGGAACTCAGCCTGAATCGCTTGGCACAGGCATGATGCATGACCTCCAAACATGCCAGTTTTTTTGGAGGGGAACGAATGCACTTAAAGATAACGAAGTCAGTTCATGCCAGTGTCATCGCAATGTCTAACACTCACTTTTGGATTATAGCGTCAAAGAAACAGTCAGACACTGAGAGGTCAGTGCAGTCGACTGACTTTGACACTGCGAATCTAGTGATTAGTGAAGGAGAGAACATTGTGTTGGCGAGTGGGGACATGAGATGCATGCGAGTGATTGTGGGTGCTATGTATTCCACAATAAGTTTTCTTTCAGGAGAATCTGCGCAATAAACTTATGTTACTGAAATTTTACAGCACAAATCAGAAGAACAACTTACTTGGTGGTGGCGAACATAGCATATTTGCTAAATTCAAATGCATAGTCCCTACCATAGATGCGACAGCAACCCTGAGCCCCAGACTGGCGATAAGTACCAAGGAATAAATGGAACCACCACAGGCAATGGCAATGAACTTGCAGCCAATTGCGTGCCATTCTGCAAAAGTTCGGTAAGAGATCACCCTAACTGAGGCATTTGGTTTGATTTCTTTCTTGTATATGTCTGTCAAGTGAAGACCAGTCTTGAGGCGTACGCTATCAAGAAGAACTGTTTGAACCAGTTGGAACACAGAAAGGTTTAGGATACGTACCTTTGGCACTTGCAGACAAGAGTCATGTAGTTCACCATGACCAGGAAGTTAATGCGGACATCCTTACTTGCAATCCCTCGACATCTCACAACAACAGAAATTAGCGACTCGTCTTCTACCAACAGCATTTGCACATGGTTGGCGATATCTTGCAACCAGTTGAGAGGATTGTGGGCAGATGAGCGACAGTGTGTAGACGCAAGTTGTGCAATCATTGTTGCTAGATCCTCACTGCATGTGATCTTGGGGTCGTTTGAGGGTCACTGATGCCATAAACCTTGCCTGGAATGAGCGCCAGCTACCTCCTCTCCATCACTTTCCCCCTCCCCCTCCCCCTCCTCCTACTCCTCCTCCTCCGCTTCATACTCCTTGGGTCCAAAAGGATCATTGCCAAGTCATGCAGCACAACACTGACGAAGCCGTAACCGACATGCGCTACATTTGCAATCGTCATCAACAAAATTTGGGGGATTGAAAGGAGGCTCAGGCAGTTCCCCTGGTGGTCCAGCATCTGTGAGTGTTGTGGATTTGCGTGCTCACTTGGTAAGGTGTGATTAATTGACATAATCAGAGCCCTCAACTTGGAATTGTGCCCTGCGATGGCCAGCCAGTGAGGGAACATCACTAGAAGTTGGTGCCAGTAACAAGTCACTTGGGACATCGAGAGTGTGTGGGGGAGAGAGAGTATCAGGCAGCCCAGGCATGGGCTCGGGTGTCCATAATTGCCCCTGCAAACGAGCTCTAGTGTTTGCAGTGCTTTGATAGGCTAACCAGAACATGGAACGTGTGAGTAATACGACACTCTACCAATAAGAGTTTGTACGCACCATCACCCTCAACTATACCATTCATCAAGTCACCTTGACAATGAGCCTCGTCAATCAAAAGTTGGTGCAGGCTAAGGAGCGCAGGAGGAACATGCACACTGTTTTCCAATACCTGCAACAGACTGTCTGCTGCATCAGCAGTGAGCAGAATTGACACACTAGAATTGAAAGGGGGCATTAGAAGTACTAACTAGCGGCATGCTGTAGGCACAAGATTCTACCAAGTCCTTTGTTGATGTGTTATTTGTATCTAGTCATGTAATGTCTGCATTTGTTCCATTCAGCTGTTTTTCCACCGTGACCATCAGAGCACTGAGCACCCAACTTCCTGTGAGTGTTATTTGTGGTGTTCATTTAGGCTGGAGTTCTCTGGACCGATCTGCTCATCCTAGATAGAACAGGCTCTCAGAACACCTCCTTTTCTGTACATTTGATATCTACATGAAACGTGTATGTGTTACTTAGGCATTGCAATAGAATAAATTTTCTCAAAACGCCCAAATATTGCCCCTAGCCTAGGGTTGTGATTGTGAGTTGCCCACAATCATGCGGCTCTCCACCAATTAGGGTTCTCCACCAATGAAACACCATGTCACCAGTTTGATCCACCTTCAGGCCTTCCTGTGGACATAAATAAGCCTCAGTAAGGCATGCTGCAATGTAGGTTACGCACGTCAACAACGATGGTCTGGTGTTGATTTGGAGAAAGTATCAAGCGTAAGTCTTCTATCAAGGTGCAATAACCCCATGTACTCAACTTCATTCAATTATGATTTCATCGATAACCCTTGTGTCCACGGTTGTCCGAACAACCTGTCTCCACCCTTTCTTTGCCCTTTCATTCAATGGCGTCATCTGCACCTTTATCCAGCCCAGATTTTGTACATTTGGAACCTAGAAGTTATAACACAGTGAGTCACTCTTTTCTATACCTGTATTGCAACGATCTGACAGGTTGCTTGTGAGATCCAATCAAGGGGTTTCATTGCAAAGACTGACGAGACATACCAAAACACAGTTGCCAATTAGGCTCGCAAACTTAGGGCATTTCTAGAGCCCCCAACCAAACCATTGGACCCTGCACACCCATCTGAAGGATTTGTGGCCATGCAGAATGACAACAACAAAGAAGTTATGCACCAAGTCATCAACAAGTTATGTCATGACGAAGTTATCTTCCAACATTGCAAAAACCTCAATGATCCTGCCAAGATTCGGAATGTGAAGGATATTCTCATTGAATTCAATAAAAGAGGGTACCTGGACAATCAAGGTATGAGCGGTGAAGGTCTCTTACTTTTTGATGCTAATTGGATCTGTAGGTCGCTGGTCAGCAAAGATAGATTGTCCAGACCTGAAAGCACCACATGTCACCCGCCAAGCTGGTGGCAGAAGCAGCACAGAAGATCTAACAGCCAGATTCATGAATTGAGTAGTGGATGTGGCACTCAAATTGGTGGGTGAATCACTCATTCATTGGACATGGAGTTCAGACTATTGCCAGAAGTATCTCCCTGGATGTGCTGAAGAATGCAAGCCTGACATATTTCTGGTGCCCTATAACCCATTGCAACCTCTTGTCCAGGATTGGCATCAAGCTGTCTCCCTTGTCAAGATGAAGCAGCATGGTGTTGACGTGCAGAAACAGGAATGGTTTGACAAGACTGCCAAGTGCACAAACACAATCTGGGGCTGTCAGGATGCCCATACATTCGTCATAATGTTGCAGTACTTTGGCGAACAGTTTGCATTTTCATTTTTTGATCGTGGAGGTGCCATTTGCCCGGATATGCTAAATATAATGGATGATAAGGAGGAATACTTGAGGCTTGTGTTGTACCTATCACTTGCTGATCCCAGTATGTCATCTGTTCACATTTATATCAACTAGCACTTACAATGCACAATGGCAGGTATGGTTTGCTTGGAGATGTCCATTGTGCACAATGATGTTGGGCAATTTGTACAATCAAAGGTTGTTGGACTCGTTCCGATTGAGATGGTACTGTTCATCAGTAATAACCTTCATGGACGTGAGACCATGGCTCGACACGTGACATTAACACAATGTCGCATCGCTGAGGCATTGCAGTCTGTTGGGACTTGGGAGGTCATGAAGAAGTGGCTGAAGGGTATGGAGGATGATGTGGCGGTAGTTGTGAAGGATACTTGGGTCAATCTCACCGCCCCCCATACAGAGGGTATGATTCTCAATTATCTTCGACTCAAGGGTGTTATGGGTGTTGCGCAGTTGCTTTTTGAGGGGCTTGTTGCCGGCCCTGCCATCCCACCATCACTCGATCAACTCCACAATCATCCAGGGATTGGTTCACTCAAGGACATTGGAGCAATAACTCAGACTGGGGGCCTCAATGTCTGGTGCAGCACCGTATACAATTGGTCTTTTCTGGGCGTGTCCACCCTTGCGCTGGCGCACAAGAGCATGACAAAGAGTGTCAATGCATATGATCGTCAGCACCCCATTCATGAAGGTAGCGAAAGCAAGCTGAAACTCATAACATGCGAAGTGTACCAGGAGCGAATGCTAACACAATCTTGGCTATATCTGCTATGCACACCAATCTATGAGTTCAGCTGTGTCTATGAGGCATTGGTTGGCATTGCGGACTGCATCAAATGTAAGTTGTGTGCTATATTTAGTTTGTGCTGCTGCTGACATAATTGTACAGCCCATGGCCAGGCATTTTCACCATATTGCATTTTGGAAAATGGCAGTGAGACCAATAAGCTTTTCCCCATCTCATTCATGCAAGCAGATACCTCAATGTGGAACATGGGCCTCGTCCGTCCAACACTGTCAGACTGGGGAGCAGTTGATCCCACCGAACTCGGCGAGAACAATGAGATTCGACAAGGCCTACTATATGATCATGCCTTTGCTTCCTGGTCTACATGATCCTCCTCCTCAAAAACAAGCCTCCTGCCAAAGATTTTCACTGCTCATACCCCGCTTGTTCCTGCCCCTGCTTCCTCTATTCCACATGCTCTCTCTATTCCGGCTCACACACCCTCTCCCAATACTCCCCCTCAATGTCCTCCCATTCCACATGCTCCCTCTATTCCAGCTCACACTCCCTCTCCCAATACTAAATGTCCTCCTGTTCCACTTTTTGACACAGCATCTACTTCCATGGTCCCATCACAGCCAGATGTTCCGTATGCTTCTGCCCCACCACCTAATTTGTCTCTGCCATTGCGTGGAGGGCGGGGAACAGGTAGACCTAAATACAGGGGACGCAGTGGTGGTGGACGCAAAGGTACTACTGAAACTATTACTGGGGAAGTATCACCCTCAACTGCTGCCAGTGGTCAGCCACCCTCCGATTCAGTCTCTTCTTGCCTATGCAAACGCACCCTTACTAGTTCGGCTGATAACCCACCAAAGCGACTTGCTTGCTATGTGCCCAAGGTCCACATCAAGCCCAAAGATGTGGTGCAAAGTCTCCAAGTTGACATTGCAGGCTATGGGTCTCCAACAACGGATGAGGATCTGGAACGCTTTGCAGATAAGGGTGGCATCTATGAGTTGACAGTCTGTATTGACAACCATCTTCTTACTCCAATGCTGATTACATTGTGTGTGTAGGGCACTCGCACTTGGATGGCCATTCAGACGATGCTCGCTCAACAACCAGGTACAGATGTCATTCGACGCGAGATAGTCCATGATCTGGAGGGCTACTATTATGTCATCCTGACACTCGCCTTCATGTTTGATGGGCTGTACGCATTGAAAAAAGTTCCAAACACTGACATGGCAAGTGGGGCAGAGATGTGGCTTCATAGGTGGCTTGAAAATACCATCGAGATGGAGATTTGGCAAGAAGCGGTGGAGAAACAGCACTATCTTGGTACCAATGCAGGGTTTTCTATGGTGGAGGGGCTGTTAGGTGAGGACTGGGCGATCAAGCCCGTGAAGATGATGTTGAAGGAGATGAGAGAGCATCTTTTCACTAATGCTGCACCGACCCACTCAGGAATGCTCGACATCATCACCAATGCCCTTGTCAAGATACGTACAAATCCTGATCTTGCCCATCTCTGCAAGCCTCAGAAAATGACGATGGAGTGGGCAAAGGCAACTGGTGGCAATGGGGTTCCCAGCCGCTCTTCCATCCTTCCTACACTGCGAATGAATTTGCTGTATCATAAGGAGCATCAAGATCCAGAACTCAATCTCTTTGCATGCATGCCCTGTCCCCTAGTGCAAGAACGCAGGGTTATGCCAGGCACCTCATCACAGGCCAACAAACCCACAGGAGGGAGAACAGTGGATCACATGAAGGTGATGACGGTGCAGGTCACCCTTAAACCGCTTCGCTCAGACTGGATGTCTTGAATTTATCTGATTCGCTTTGAATGCACGCACTTACATTATCGTTATGGATAGCCTTCTATTTCTTCATGGTATCTCTATGCACACCGAAACTTGGTTATGTTGTATTCACAATGTTCAGAGCTACTTTACATGATTCAATGCAATTTCTATTTTGATCACAAACAGACCTGACCTAGATGCTCCCCCTAGACAAATTCCCTGTCCTCTTGTTTGAATACAGTTTCACTAATTTCTAATATGGTGTCCAGCAGACATATTTCAACTGAGGTGCCAATGCTTTATAAATGCCCTGCTGCAGGCTGCATTCGCTCATTCAGCACAACACAAGGACTCAATTCGCATCTCTGAAATGCATCAGGCTATAAGTGGTATAAACTTGGGAAGAGAAGAGAGCTGGATAGAGAGAATGATGAAGATATGGATGAGTTCAGGATTGAGGGTCTACCTAATGGGCTAGCGGATGAGGTGGATGAGGCACTTTTTCATTTGATTCCTCTGGGCCCTGATAGTGAGTCAAAATATCAATTGCTTCTCACATCAGGCTCACATTATTATTTAAGGGATGGACCACGATGCCCAAGACATGATGGATGTTGACATTCCCATACATGACGACCACCCTGTGCCAGGTCCATCAAGACATCCACACTCTTTACAGGCGGAGGGTGACACACGCGTAACAGAGTCCCATCCCACTGCAGGCAGAGTCATACGCATTGACCAGTCAGTGCATGCAAAATGGCGATTACAGTTTGGATTGTGTAATGAAGCTGAGAGTTCAGTGCCAGAAGATCAAGATGATGATAGTTTATTTTATCCCTTCACCTCGAGACCAGACTGGCAGGTAGGATGTTGGGCGGTGCAGGAGGGTATTGGACATAAGGCTTTTGATAGATTATTGGCCATACCAGAGGTAAGTCACTTATGAGCTTGTTGTTATATTTCTGATATATTTTCAACGCTAGGTTAAGGATTGTCTTGGACTAGCATATCACAACACTCGTGGACTTCACCAGACTATAGACAGCATCCCCCCTCATGCTAAATGGTAATCTACATTTTTGGCCTTTGCTGATAAGCCTGATCATAAACATGAACTGCACTACCAAAATCCAGTAGACGCAATCAGGACTCTCCTTGGCAATCCTGCCCATGCTAAAGATATCATATACAAGCCTGCAACTGTATTCACCGACGACACTCATTCTTCACACATATACAATGAAATGTGGACTGGTCGTTGGTGGCATGCCGTTCAGGTAAACTATACAAACATTAAATGTATATGCTTCAACTAATATTAACTTCCTAGGATAGACTTCCAGAGGGAGCATCAGTTGTGCCAGTCATTATTGTCACCGACAAAACCCAGCTTACAAGATTCTCTGCATCAAAATCTGCATATTCTGTATACCTGACTTTGGGTAATATACCTAGGGCCATTCAAAGAAAACCAGGGCAACATGCTTGTATATTGATAGGCTATCTATCGGTAGACAAAATTCTCAAGAATGAGCTATCTGCCAGAGAGGTTTCTGCTAGAGTCCACCATCTATTTCATGCCTCCTTGCACATTATTCTTGACCCTCTGAAAGAAGCTGGGAAAGAAGGAATAGAGGTTGTTGGGGAGATGGACTTGTTCGCATGGTATTCCCCATCCTTGCCTGCTATGTTGCCAACTATCCAGAACAATGCTTGGTTACTTGTACCAAGTACAGTACCTGTCCTAAATGCCGTGCCAGAGCAGAGGAATTGGCAGAAATCCAAATGTTTACTTGCCGTACCCAGCCTTGGACTGCCTCCATCATTGATGATGCCAATATCAGCACTACCACCAATGCAGCATTCAGAAAACAGTGTATGTTGCATGATGTTGCTGGAGGCGTCTTTGAGCCTTTTTGGCTTGAATTTCCTCACTGTGATATTCATCTGGCAATTACATCTGATGTCCTACACCAGCTCTACCAAGGCATGTTTAAACATATGGTAGAGTGGTGTCAGGAACTTATGGACGAAGAAGAACTGGACCAGAGGCTATGCACACTTCCTCCATGTTATGGTGTTCGCCATTTTCACAAAGGCTGGACTTCATTGGGTCAAATTGGTGGCAAGGAACGCAAACACATGGCTAGAGTACTATTGGCCTGTCTTGTAGGCAAGGTCCCCAGGGGAGTTATTCTAGCCTACCGCGCTCTCTTGGATTTCATATACCTCTCCCAATACCCAACTCACGATGACACTACTCTGGAGTATATGCAACAAGCCCTAAAGGACTTCCATCATCACAAGGAAGTCATCATCAATTTGGGTATCAGAGACAATCTCGATATTCCAAAATTTCACTCATTACAACACTACCTGGAGAACATCCAGAACTTTGGGACAACAGATAACTACAACACTGAGATGTTTGAAAGATTTCATATTGATTTTTGCAAAGAGGGTTGGTATGCATCTAATGGGAGAAATGAGAAACCTCAGATGATTGCTTGGCTTACAAGAAGGGAGAAGGTTGCATCTTTTCAAAGCTATCTACAGATGACTATGGAGGATGAAGATGAAGAATTTTCCCACTCCAGATTTCAAGATCAACATATAATCCTCCCCAAAAGCCCTCATCAGATTCATCGCCACATTGCTGATATTATGCTGGACCACTCTTGCAATGGCTTTAAGAAGGATCTTATCTTCTATCTCAATACTCAAGTAGATCAACCTTATTCCAGAGCTCAACTTCAAGACATTGATCTTCCTCTCAGTCATATAGACATTTACCATGGGTTCAAATTCTGTTTGGACTCATTAGGTAATGATGTTGACTTTGATTATGAGGAGTTGGATACAGTCAAGGCAAAACCTCCAATGGGTGGCAAAGCAGGATGCTTTGATACAGTAGTGGTAATGGATGGGTCAAATTGTGAAAGTACTGGTTTACAAGGTTAGTTGTATCACACTCTATAAGCAAAGTTCTTATAATATTTGATGTTAATAGGTACTAGAATTGGACGTCTCAAAGTAATATTTTGCCTGCCACAACAACTATATGGTTCTGTCCATCCAGTCTGGACCAAAGAACCTCTAGCTTATGTTGAGTGGTACTCTCCACTAAAACCAGCAGCAGAAGACTACCATGAAATGTACAGTGTTAAGAAACCTTTGCCTTCTGTTGTAGACAGTACATTGGCAGGTAAAGTTATTCCGCTGTCATCTATTAGACAGACTTGCCAGCTTGTTCCCAACTTTGGAAGAACTGTGCCTATGGATTGGACTTCTGATAATGTATTAGATAGATGTGATTCCTTCTTACTTAATTGTTTTACTTCGAAGTATGCTTACCAAACTTTATGGTAACTTTATAATACAATGTGTTTCCTATAGTGTACTACAGGGGGCTAGAGCTGCATATAGCACTGTATAGCACTATATAGCACTGTGTGGCACTATGTACTCTGTATAACACACCCTTCTCTATATAGCCATACAGTTTTTCCTGATGAAGGAGGGCCCTCCACCTGACTGGGAGCCTTCTGAATAGTTTTTTGTGTTAGAGTTGTTCCTATAATATGGTTTGGTTTTTCTGGTTGGATGGGAGTGATGTATTAAATGGGTTATGTGACATTATTGGAGCAGTAGGATGGGAGGATGAGAGGAGACAGGAGATGGGAGACGGGAGATGGGAGACGGGAGACGGGAGACGGGAGACGGGAGACGGGAGACGGGAGAGGGGAGACGGGAGACGGGAGACGGGAGACGGGAGACGGGAGACGGGAGACGGGAGACGGGAGACGGGAGACGGGAGACGGGAGACGGGAGACGAGACGGGAGACGGGAGACGGGAGACGGGAGACGGGAGACGGGAGACGGGAGACGGAGACGGGAGACGGGAGACGGGAGACGGGAGAATGGGAGACGGGAGAATTGGGAGGAAGGGCATAAGTCAATAGCAAGACACAAACTTCAGTCTCTGTTAAGGTCGTGCTCAAGGGAAAGACTACTCAAAGGGCTTCGGCTTCAGCTCGTGCGCTGTGCCCCTTACCCGAGTATGTGCCCTTAATTTCCAGTGGGCAGAGGGGAAGTCCAACGGAAGTCCAGGGGAGTTCCAGAGGACAAACGTTGGTGGAGTTTGGCGGAACTCCGGAAGACTATGTGGGAACAGAGTAAGGCTACTACGGAAGTCCGGAGTAGAAATAAAACAGAGGTTAGACTACCCTAAGGTAGAGCCGGAGAATTAGTCCTAAGGTTTAACCCCTAAGACTTGGAGGTGGACAAGAGATGAGACTCAAGTCTGGAGATTGCAGGAATGAGCAGAACTAATATGATATTCGAACTGAGGAGTTCCGGAGTATTACAGGGGTTTATATACTGTAGGTATCATATAAGTAAATCAGTCAGCAAAGGTAAAGGCTATGTATGAAGCATATGGAAAGTCTATTAGTAAGTGTAATGGATCAAAGCAGTGAAGTCGGAAAGGAAGTAAGAATGGACGGATCAGTAAGCATAGTGGAAAAGGACATAACCGGTAACCAGAGCAATAGCTAATCTAAAAGGAGTTAGAGGTGAGTGCGGAGATGAAGGCAGAGCGCCGGGTGGAATAGCAGGACGGAGAACCAGATTTTGATGGAGTAGATCCAGAATTCCGGATCCGGAGGTATGGGATATGACAGTCTCACTGTTTGTGCAACATCCCATAACTAAAACAAAAGCATATAATATGTAGACACAGTGAGGCAAGGCACCAAAGGTGCCTCCAGCAGAGCATGAAGTGCTCTGCTTGCTTCCTGTGCCGAAGGCACAACAGGCTTGAACTCGTATCAAGGGGAGGAAGAAGCAAATATGTTTTTGATATGTTTTCCATTGCTTCACACTTGCAGAGGCCCTGTGACAGGCACTGGGGCAACAACAGACCAAAAAAGCGGTTTAATATGTTCTATTATATCTATTCAACCTAAGCTGCTACTTATATACAGACTGTATCTAATTGTGGTGTGGTGGTGAGCCAGGGAGGTGTGGGAAGGGTTGATATTGTGGAGAATACCTAAAATGGGCGATGTTTTGGGAGTTGTGGAGAAGTTCCCGGTGGCCAAAAATGCGAGTGGGAACAATGGAGCAGCTGCAAGTGCTATGCTGTATCTCACACTGGCAGTTAGTGTATTTTAATGCATTACTCCCCCAGGGTCTTGTGTGCAGGCACCAGTGAGGAAGTCTGAAGTGTCGCAGCCATGAGAGGATGGAGCTAGTACAAGAAATATATTAACTCTAGTCTTTGGTAGAGGACAGAAAATATTTCGGGGTACGCATGTTTAAAGCGGGATTGCGCTCACCAGCACTCATAGCAGTTAAACTAGTAACCTGATCACACATGGATTCCATCAACCTCGCCCGTATCAAGAGGCGGGGCTCTGGATCAGTTCGAGTGGAAACCATCTCCATTCCCGTCTTGGAGAAGTTTAGAATACATGGATGCGGTCAATACCGTAGACAGGCTCAGCAAAGGCCGAAGAAGCTACTTTGAAGGCTGCGACGGATACTCGATTTGTGCTGCCCAGACTCCGTGTATACGCGGCTCGATAATGAGGTAACATGGATATAGATGATGGCCTGACTGTCCTATACAACCCTAACACGCTCCTGCAGCTGCAGCATGTGCAAAGAGCTTCAGTTCGATCCTGACACTACTCGTCATAGACTATACTTGCTGGGCCCCTATATCCGATTAAGGCGACGAAGTTCAATCATAAAACTGTGAGTTGGGCTTACCGCATTTCAACACCCTTTACAACGTTCTCGATCAGCGAGGAAATGGATCAACAAGAGCGAGACGCGAACCTTATCCTTCCAACTGATCTGTGCTTTCAGTTCTGTGTGACCGAATAGAATGATGACGTCGAATTCAATCTTATAATACTTCGAACGATCTAGAAACGATTTTTGGGGACGAAGTGTTTGGGCTAGTTCCTGGAGGTCGGCATGAATCGTGCACAGCGTGGAGAATGAGGCTGAATTAGATGAAGTCAGCATGAGTGTGCTCGAGCAGTGAATGGCTCATACACCGTTCAACGTCTAACCACTGCGGCTCCTGGAGGGCACCATTGTAGCACATTATGTCCGTGCTGTGACTCGTGCATGCAGCGAGTGATTTTAGGACAATATAAAAGGACTTCCGGAATTCGCGCAGCTCAGATACTTGAGTCCCCTATAAGACAGATCTGAGGTCGGCATATACCGAATGAGTAGAATGCTTTATTCACCTTCAGCAAAATACTCTGAAACCTATTGGGGATACACGGTTTACCGGAAGCATCGATGAAGCTTGTGTGTTGTCGGGCCGAGTGCTCAGGATCCTGAGAGTTGTATGGAGAGTAGCATTCGATGCCATAAGTGGCTCGTGCAACTCGAGACGACACTAGGTGGTCAATGTAGAACGAAACTGCTCCATCAGCAACAGCCTTATTGCTGTGGTCATCTGATGAGTAGAAGTAGTCACTTTGGTATTTCAGAGCTTACACATGGGCATCTGGGCGACAGAAGCTTATACCGAGAGGTTGAAAGTACTCCTGGAGTTTCGCAAACAGCCAGTCGCTGGCGGCGAAACCGCCGACCAAGAAAACGAACTTCACAACGATGTCAGAATCTGCCAATATAAGCGGAATATTATGCTCGCATTGACTGGGGTCGAAGCCGCACGCATCTGCTGCTCGAAAGCCTCGATGATGGCTTTGATGGATGGTTCAAATAAGTCGGCGATGTCCCGGCTGCACGGTAAAACGTAAGTGTTGGGAGGAAGGCATCCCAAAAAATATGGACGAACCCGACCAATTTCAATTGCCCTGATCGAATGTCGTACTTCGCATCCTTGTCACGGATGGTGCCAAATTTGATGTAAGATGGTTCATCAGGCTTACGGAACCGAAGCTTCGTGCTTTTGTCGAAGATACTCGTCATTTGTGCGATCATCTCAGGACTGGAGTAGTTCGAGCCAAAAAGTTTGTCTGCACAAAGAAGTTGCCATCAGTTTTTGGTTGCCTGCATGGTCGATTCATTCACGGACTTCGTAACAGAGTATGAGCGCGACGGGTAACAAAGACTGAGCCTTGCAGGCAACCTGAATGGACTTCAGCAGGAGAACGTCACAGTGAAAGCGGGACTGACATTCAGCTGGGGCAATCTCCTCGAACGAGGTCGGGGATAACTTCATGGAGTAGGCGCTGAGATCGATGGTTCCGCCTCCAGCATCAACAACAACGACTCCTTGGCTGTCAGATTGGTCTTCCTCTTCGTCGGGGTAATCTGACACAGCTATAGGGGTTTTAGAGAATGCATCCGATGCAATCACGTTGGTAACACAGAAATGAAGACTCGCTTCGCCTTCAGTCAAGAGGTGCACGTGAGATTGTTCCTGGTCAGATGGAATGAGACCAGCGAGCTCGACGGCGCGTCTAATCTGTTGTTGTTGCGCGCCTTCCCAACCGTTCGGGTGTGTAAGTACGAACTCAATGGAGTTCTCGACCGATCTCCAAAGACTCAAATGTGATTCTTGAATGTAAGTCTGAGCGCACTGGAAAAGGTAGCGCATGAAGTCGGCGAGGACCTGTACTGCGGATTTGCCGTGTGGAAGAGGTGGTATGTCGTCTTCCCGTATGTGAGACGATGCCAGACGCTTGGCGCGAAGATGAAGTTTCCACCTGACTAAGATTAACATACAGCCTGCACTTCATCCTCGACGCTAGACAAACCATTCAAGCCTCACCCATCCCTCATCTTCTGCCTGTTCAATTATGTGCTCTTGTAAAGCCTCGGCACCCACGGCGCGGACGTCTCCCTGCAGATCATAGTAGATAATTGATGGTATTTTGGAGTCGCCTCCAACATGCTCTTGCGCAGGATATCTGCGACCACACCATGAGCAAGAGATATGCTGATGGAGCGGCCTACTGACCTTGCCACCCCTCTGATTACGGGCACTTCCCCCGGGTCTAGGATACAATACGAGACACCACTGAATGTGGTACCGACATCGAATGCAAGCACTAGCTTTCGCGTCAAGCCTTTGTACGGTTCCCGTGGAAGCATATTAGAAATCTGAAGGTTGGTCACTCGCTTTCTGGTCGAAGGTTATATGTCAAGGGGCGTGCGTTACACTTTAAAGGTCACATACCAGGGTTGAGGCGTGTACGCCTCGTGTTGTCATTGCATACACTGGGATAGAGCAAGGATGTGATGGTGTTCAAACACATGTTGTGCACTGCCTATGACCCTTTTCTGAACAGAGCAGATCCTCCCAAGAAGGTGAGAGTGCTGACGAGACCCTACGCCCATGTTCACGTAGAGCTTACTGTGACAATCTGAGTTCGGATCTTATACAATATGTATGTAGCGGCTTCTTCGGAAGATCGAAGCTTCATGCAACCTTGGCCAGTGCATTCGACATCTCAGCACTTGTTGTCACCTGCGGTTCTATGAATATTTGGATTGATGCGTGAGACCTCCCTTCATGATCATGACTGACGCTGACTTTCCTTCCTTCAATTTGTTGTAATTTTGAATGTGTATATAGTACGCGAGTGATACTGAACACGAACTTGCCTGCCCTAAATCATGTTTCTTCACAGCATCACACCTTCGATTCAGCGTTGAAGTCACTTGAAGTCTGGCCGCTAGTTGATGGCAAGTTGTCTCGCTCCTCTTCACCTTTGTTAATAGTAACACCACGGTCACTGGTGATTCAGGTCTAAACCACATCATCGCTAGCGACCGTCAATTTGACATTGCATCAGAGTGCACCTTACTCGGACCTGTGGGACGTGCTGAATGTGTAGTGTTTACATGGTGCTACACTAAAACTGTTGCGATTCGGAGGTCGTTGGGAACGGACATGCGACAGTCGCTGAAATCATCGCGTGAATATGGGTCCGATTTAAATGCTGACGCATTACAAAAGTTCCGT